CAGCTCAAAGCTGAATATGCTGTTAGTAATGATTCAGTTGTTTACGGTTAGCCAGTTTATTATCTTGTTATCTAACTCTTATTCCGTACTATGCTATATCGAAGTAATAAGACATGTGGTGTAAGTTTGCACCAATGAAAGTATGTTCTCATGCGTCACATGTAGAGCTTAATTCTGTCAATGTGTCCATGTCCAAACGGCAAGATTATTCGAGGTAACCGTGGCTTGAATTCCGTGGCCGTGCTTAATCGGTAATCGCCGTTGACAATGTTGCGAGCTTAAATGACATGGAACTGCGCTGATTAATGTACGGTTGTCACAAACTTTGTAACAGTTTGTTGCCGTGGATAATAATAACACTGAATACATGGAAAGCTTCATGCCGTTAGCATGCATTTGGAAAAACCATCTGCGCCCACTAGACATGTAATCCGTATGCCGAACAAACGTATGTCGCATCGCGTGCTGTCAAGTGCAACCATCGACAATCAGAAGACCTTGCAAGTTGACCTGGCGAGAACGTTATCACGTGTCATGAAAACCTTATCCATTTTACCAAGAAAACTTTGGCTTGAATGTTATCTCATTAAAAGTGACCTCATAATTGTTTTTTTTACTACATACCACTGGGTTCATTTATTAGCTATAGATTAGTGCTTCTCAAACTGGGCGATGCGAAGTCGTAAAGGTTTATGAATGGAAATTGGACAGTAGGGGAACGCTCTACCCCTCTGAAAATAGGGATTTTTCAACATTATTCCCAAATGTCTTGCCTGGTGTTGATAAGCGGATATGGTTGCACAGTGATCAATCGTCACATTGATCCCCGCACATTTACGTAGCTGTATATTGTTTTATAATAATTGATGTATGTCCATGTTCTCACCGTACTGTCCACCATATTAACACTAATGGAGGAGTGATGCCGTCATGTTTATGAAACTAGAAAGACGATAAGTTGAAAAGTTTTGCAGCTACCGTTCTAAGTGAATGCAGCCCACTCACTGGCATAGGATCGAAAGATGAGTTGCCGACCCCTCCCATAACTGTTTATTCTTTGCTGATTTATTTGGTTGGTTGAATGCAAACCAGCACAAGGCCGGAATGTACCAATCTCCGTGGGCAGGGTCGGGAATATTAACCCGATTCCCTTTCGCTACAGGGGGCTGCCTTGCAACAATACGAGCAGCAATCCTGACAATGTCAGGCACCCCGTCTCTGTACCGAGTTATCGGATCACTTAGGACCGCCTGACCCATGGCCAACTGCTGTTCCCATGGAACCCTTCTCCACCTCGGCCTTCAAGGTTCTCACTTGAATATTTGCTACTACCACCAAGATCTGCACCCGTGGCGGCTCCACTCAAGCTCACGCCCGAAGCTTCCCGCTCACCACGGCGACCCTCCTACTCGTTACCACCACTCCGTGCCTGAGTCGTGCGGCTTGCCCTCACACCACAGGCATATAACAGACTCAGCTTGCAGTACGCGTGGTAATATAGGTCCGATCGCTCCAGCGCCATCCATTTCAGGGCTTGGTTTGATCGGCACGCGTGCACCGGTTGTTAACAACACTCCTTAGCACGATTCCGACTTCCATGGCCACCGTCCTGCTGTCTAGACCAACCAACACCTTTTGTGGTATCTGATGAGCGTCGCGTTAGGCACCTTAACCGGACGTTTGGTTCATCCCACAGCGCCAGTTCTGCTTACCAAAAATGGCCCACTTGGCACTCACATTCAACGCCCAACTCCGCTCAAGCGAGTTCAGCTTCTCACCCATTTAAAGTTTGAGAATAGGTTGAGGACGTTTCGCCCCCAAGGCCTCTAATCATTCGCTTTACCGGATAAAACTGTTTATTTCTCCGAACGCCAGCTATCCTGAGGGAAACTTCGGAGGGAACCAGCTACTAGATGGTTCGATTAGTCTTTCGCCCCTATACTCACGTTTGACGATCGATTTGCACGTCAGAATCGCTGCGGTCCTCCACCAGAGTTTCCTCTGGCTTCAACCTGCGCAAGCATAGTTCACCATCTTTCGGGTCTCAACATGTACGCTCATGCTCCGCCCCGACGGTGCACTGGTCCGAAGATTATGTGTCTACGTCATGGGACGGGCCGGTGATGCGCCTGCCGCTCGTTGCTTGGTGGTACCATGCGTGAAAACGACAGGATCTCACCTCAGCCTGGACAAGCCGGGCCTTTACTTTCACTGCGCCTGTGGGTTTCGTTACGCCCAATGACTCGCGCACATGTTACTCTCCTTGGTCCGTGTTTCAAGACGGGTCAGGTGGATAGTCTACCACTACACCACAGACTGTTGGCCCTTAACGGCACCACATGCGCAACCGCCCACTGAACGAATCCGAGCCATCACCAGGCCTGCATTCACAAGCAACATGGCAACCAAACCCGAACACGCCAGCAGGACCGGCACGCACGCACGCACCACAAGCCGCCGTCTCCGACACACTGCACAGAACAATCGTGGTCAGCTAATTACACTCGAAAACCAAACGCCTGCAGTAAACCACAAGCTAGCCAACGAGCTACCTGCCTTCCCGGCCATACAAAGCCACAAGTGCTCTATAAGTCCGGTTTAACCACAGTAGTCAGACAGCAGTGCCGGTCGTGGTGAACACTCTGAGAAAGTGCACTGGCGAATTGGCCCGATAAACAAAGAGGCGCACAACACTTGATAAGTGTATCGCGCATCCCTACCCGAGGGCAGAGACCTGCTGCTACGCAGACCTCAATGTCCAACCAACTTGACCAAGCTCAAACCACACTCACCAGCTGAATCCTCAAAGCTTGCAGTTCAACTCCACCCGTTTACCTCTGAGCGGTTTCACGCACTGTTTACTCTCTCTTCAAAGTACTTTTCAACTTTCCCTCACGGTACTTGTTCGCTATCGGACTCGTGCAAGTATTTAGCCTTGGATGGAGTTTACCACCCACTTTGGGCTGCATTCACAAACAACCCGACTCCAAGGTCTACCCAGAGAGGCACTGGCCTGCCTGATCTCCACCCCCACGGGCCTTTCACCCTCTGTGGGCCATGTCCGTACCACCGTACTCATTGCTGGACTTAGGGTGGAGCAGCACCTCTATGGAACGACCTGAACACCACATTGCCTAGTGACCAAATGACCACAGGCTTCGGTGCTGGGCTTTTCCCTGTTCACTCGCCATTACTCCTGTCAGGCGTGATAGTTGTCCTATCGTAGTTTGTCTTTTGTTCCGCCGCTTAGTGATATGCTTAAGTTCAGCGGGTACTCACGTCTGATCCGAGGTCAGGAGAATGAGCCACATGGCACATACATAGATCATCGGATACACCACGCGCAGCATCAACCATAGATGACGACAGGACAGCGGAACGTGCATAAATTATTCACTGAGCCACGACTCCGCTGCCACATCCCCATCAAGGCTTTCAGCCACAACATGGGTACGCCCGGATTTGTTAGGGAAACGCCATAGATCTGGCACCCCACTGGCACAAAGCTAGATTGGGGAGATCACGCCAGCTGGCAAAACCCAAGCCGCGACTTTTGGGCGTCGCGATAGTTTATAAGCCGACCCTCGGACAGGCGTGGCCACAGGCTAACCCGTGGCCGCAATATGCGTTCAAGATGTCGATGTTCAAAGCAGTATGCAGTATGCAGTTCACATTAATTCACACAGTTGGCTGCGCTCTTCATCGACACACGAGCCGAGTGATCCACCGCACAGAGTTGTACTCACATCGAACATCCAGTCACCCAGACGAACGACGTATGGTTAACCAGTCAAGCCCGGGATAAGGCACCGCCAGGCGACTGTACATGCAGTCCAGTACGGAACCGGGTGCATGTCGGGCAATGGAACAAGCCAGACGGGCCAGCCTGAACCACTTGAACAGTGTAAAATGGCATAAATTGGAAACAAACAGGGCGGTGGCCGAGCCGTAGCTCAATATGCCTTACCACTCATTGAGCCTAGCACTGTCTATGAGGACAGCACAACCCGTCACTCCCGAGATGGACTGACCATCCGAAAATGGCAATCAAAAGAGCATCAGACGGATAGGCACCCTGCTGCAAGCATTTCTGTACGTAGGCACACGAGTGCGCCAGGCACAGTTGAATCGAATGGCAGAGGAGAGACGCTCCACCCGAGGCAGACGAGGCTGCATCCAACAAACCCGAAGGCTCATCGGAAAAGACCCACTGTACGTAGGCACACGAGTGCGCCAGGCACAGTTGAATCGAATGGCAGAGGAGAGACGCTCCACCCGAGGCAGACGAGGCTGCATCCAACAAACCCCGAAGGCTCATCGGAAAAGACCCAACTGTACGTAGGCACACGAGTGCGCCAGGCACAGTTGAATCGAATGGCAGAGGAGAGACGCTCCACCCGAGGCAGACGAGGCTGCATCCAACAAACCCGAAGGCTCATCGGAAAAGACCCAACTGTACGTAGGCACACGAGTGCGCCAGGCACAGTTGAATCGAATGGCAGAGGAGAGACGCTCCACCCGAGGCAGACGAGGCTGCATCCAACAAACCCGAAGGCTCATCGGAAAAGACCCAACTGTACGTAGGCACACGAGTGCGCCAGGCACAGTTGAATCGAATGGCAGAGGAGAGACGCTCCACCCGAGGCAGACGAGGCTGCATCCAAAACCCCGAAGGCTCATCGGAAAAGACCCAACTGTACGTAGGCTGTGCGATCTGACGAGTTGTGGGCTGTCTGCAGGTGTTGGGCACAGTTGAATCGAATGGCAGAGGAGAGACGCTCCACCCGAGGCAGACGAGGCTGCATCCAACAAACCCGAAGGCTCATCGGAAAAGACCCAACTGTACGTAGGCACACGAGTGCGCCAGGCACAGTTGAATCGAATGGCAGAGGAGAGACGCTCCACCCGAGGCAGACGAGGCTGCATTTAACGAGTATGACTACCCGTTGAGAACACTTGCCCATTTGCTCTTTGAGGCTTTTTGAATTTTGGGAATTCTGTAATGATCCTTCCGCAGGTTCACCTACGGAAACCTTGTTACGACTTTTACTTCCTCTAAATGATCAAGTTTGGTCGTCTTCTCAGCACCGGTCGAGCTGCCGAAACAACTACAATGGCGCCAATCCGAGGACCTTGCTAAACCATTCAATCGGTAGTAGCGACGGGCGGTGTGTACAAAGGGCAGGGACGTAATCAGCGCAAGCTTATGACTTGCACTTACCAGGAATTCCTCGTTCACGGGGAACAATTGCAAGCCCCGATCCCAGTCACGACGGTGATGACTCAGTTTGCCCAACCCTTTCGGGCCAGGTTCCCAGACTCGCTGAAACCGTCATTGTAGCGCACGTGCGGCCCCGGACATCTAAGGGCATCACAGACCTGTTATTGCTCATTTTCGTGCGACTGTCACGCCGCTTGTCCCTCTAAGAAGTAAACACCTGCGCAGCACCCGCCGGCGAACGGCACCACCACCCCCGAAGAGGCAGCGAGCACCGCCACCCGCACGGGCACAGAGGACAGGCATACTATTTAGCAGGCCAAAGTCTCGTTCGTTATCGGAATTAACCAGACAAATCGCTCCACCAACTAAGAACGGCCATGCACCACCAACCACCGAATCAAGAAAGAGCTTTCAATCTGTCAATCCTCACAGTGTCCGGGCCGGGTGAGTTTTCCCGTGTTGAGTCGAATTAAGCCGCAGGCTCCACTCCTGGTGGTGCCCTTCCGTCAATTCCTTTAAGTTTCAGCTTTGCAACCATACTTCCCCCGGAGCCCAAAGACTTTAAAGGTTTCCCGGGGACTGCCCGCGGGGACAATAAAAGAACCACCGCGGATCGTCAGTTGGCATCGTTTATGGTCAGAACTAGGACGGTATCTGATCGTCTTCGAACCTCTGACTTTCGCTCCAGATCAATGAAAACATCCTTGGCAAATGCTTTCGCTGTAGTTTGTCTGGCGGCGATCCAAGAATTTCACCTCTAACACCGCCATACAAATGCCCCCGTCTGTCCCTCTTAACCATTACTTCGGATCCGAAAACCAACAAAATAGAACCGAAGTCCTATTCCATTATTCCATGCAAGAATTTTCAGGCACAAGGGCCTGCTTTGAGCACTCAAATTTGTTCAAAGTAAACGTGCCGTCCGCCCCCGACACCCGTTTAAAGGCATCTGAAAGCATGCCGACAAACCCGAAGGCCTAGTCAGCACCTGCAAAACAGACACGGCAGAAAGACCACACAACCACGACACCGACCCACCAAACCCAGGGCCTTAACAGCCAACCGAGAAAGTGAGCGACGGCACGTAGCCATGCGACCCAGATCCAACTACGAGCTTTTTAACTGCAACAACTTTAATATACGCTTCTGGAGCTGGAGTTACCGCGGCTGCTGGCACCAGACTTGCCCTCCAGTTGATCCTCGTTAAAGGATTTAAATTGTACTCATTCGAATTACGGAGCCTCTGTTGAGTCCCGTATTCGTATTTTTCGTCACTACCTCCCCGTGCCGGGATTGGGTAATTTGCGTGCCTGCTGCCTTCCTTGGAAGTGGTAGCCGTTTCTCAGGCTCCCTCTCCGGAATCGAACCCTGATTCCCCGTTACCCGTTATCACCATGGTAGGCAGGTCACCTACCATCGTAAATTGATAGGGCAGACATTTGAAAGATCCGTCGCCGACACAAGGCCGACGCGATCAGTGAAGTTATCCAGAGTCATCACAGAGTATAACGGAAGCGGCCGAAGCCACAACCGGTTGGTTCTGTTCTAATAAATCCACCCGTTCCCTCGCGGGTCAGGGCATAGTGGCATGTATTAGCTCTAGAATTACTACAGTTATCCATGTAGTATGTACGATCTAAGGAACCATAGCTGATTTAATGAGCCATTCGCGGTTTCACCGTTTTGAGGTATGTACTTAGACATGCATGGCTTAATCTCTGAGACAAGCATATGACTACTGGCAGGATCAACCAGATTATTCACACTCAACTCACGTCTGAATGACGAGAAATCTCCGTGGTTTTCGGGCGCCATCCCCACATAGGCATTTGCCCCCAGTACATTTACTTATCTTGCAACAGTAATACTGAGAGCGACCACATGTAAAGAACAGACACCCGTGGCACAACCACATAGCCGCCCCGTAACTATGTGGACCACTGGCACCATTTTTATTGGCAGAACTAGTTCGCTCAGCCGTAGGCAGCCCATTGCTGCAAGGGATTAACCGTATAAACACAATCGAACCGGGCATCAGTACCACCCGTTCAACGCACAGGACAAGCCAGCCGGCTTAGCAACTTCAAAGGCAACGCGTCATGCCAGACGGGCATGACAGGCAATCTGCCTGCCCTTACCCAAAAGGCATGCACTTGCCCACATCAGAGCGAGTAATATAACCCTTTAACCCGTATCATGAGCGCGTCCACACCAACTTGGCCACAAAGGCCATGCAACATCAACAGCTGATGAACGACGACGCCAACTGTAGCCAGCATGCTCAGATGGGAATCGCTGTCCCTACCCGATGCATTGTATACCGGCCAAGGCAAGCGTAGATCTACCTTGACAACCACAGGCAAAGCAAATGCCACCGCGGGTTGCGCCCGACAGCATGTCATTGGGCGCGTGCAAATGGCGCAGCTTAGATTTACATTTCGCGATTGGGTGATCATACGTTTTTACCACGATCGCTCCGTACACGACAGTCCGTACTGTCTGAGGGACCACCAGGGTCACCTCCCTCGCTCACACAACAGCGCACTAGAGGACGGTCACTCTATGCCTGACACACGCCACAGACCATGAAGCATTTTACATGGCTGCCGTCAATTGCCTTCCATCGCGGGATTCATTTGAGAAACACTTGCCCAGTCAAGCCTGTTGACCATCATTGTCAACACCAGGTGTGTGCTATTTCACA